CCTTGGAATCTCTCAATTGTTCGGTTAAACCTTTGCCCCATCTCTATGCTTCTCTTACGCTCATAGAAGCTCAGACGCATCTCTGTCCAGCCTTCCTTACTAATAGTTATTTTGTGCACAAGAGCGTGTTAAGAGGCCCGTTAGTTCGGCCTTAATAGGGCCATGTTGTCATGGAGATGTGTGCACTCTGGCAGGTTGATCTTTGACTTGGTTTTTAGTGTTTTCAGGCAAGGAGGGCGCACAGGTCACAATAGACACCCGATGAGAGCAGCAGAGCCCTGTCAAAGGCACTTAACTTCACTCGGCCCAAAGACTGAGGGATACTTCAAACATGGCAGCCATTACCTTAGTGCTAGATACATACTTCAGATACGGCAGCCATCAGCCTATTGACTGTGACCTCGAGTCAGACAGTTGGGAGTCTGTAGTTGTAATTTGCTTAGCTTTAGCGTTCTGCATGGATTTTATTCATGCATTAAAGGACCATTTGGTTTTAAAAATGTGGCTTACGCCACTCAATCTGGTCATGCGGATGCATTTCGAATCTGCCATTTCCTAATCATTTCTCTCATTCCTGTTCCTGTTCCACTATTGTTATCATTAAAAGTGGAAAAATGAGAAATTAGATGTGCACTACCATCTTCTTGGGGAAAAGGTGCACTTTCAATCAGATTTTCACTTGGCAAACAAATTCAAAAACCTCTCTTGCAGTGTCCCATTCGGTTTTGGTGTTCGACACATGGTCTGAAGACCGACCGCGTTTCATAACCTAGTGAGCTGCTTACCTAGCTTGAGTTTTGTAGGTTACAAAAGTTCTGAAGGCACCTATAAAATGCAGAAATGCCATCTAGGTAGGCATGGTAGTTTACAACTAATGAAAGTTGTCCATTTTAATGATGACTAACAAATGTAATATTAAATTAGTGGTTCAACGGATCACAAAACTCACGGTTCGGATCATATTACGTTTTTTGAGTCCCGGATTGGATCGTTTTTCAGATCAGCAAGAAAAAAAACATTTCAATATAACTTTGCTTTCCATTTATTACTTAAAATCAAGTACTTCTTCGATACCACAGCAAAAACTACTAGCCTAAATAAGAAAGTTCAAACATGATCAAAGACAAGTGAACTGCCAGTAAAAAATAAGCACAAATGCACAAATTACAAGCATAGATAGATAAATACAACAGAACAAAGTTACAAATAAAATAAGGTCGGTAGTATTCAAGTACAGAAATGTAATAATAACACTGAAAAATAACTAAAATAACACTGCATAGTCAAAGACAAGTGAACTGCCAGTAAAAAATAAGCACAAATGCACAAATTACAAGCATAGATAGATAAATGCAACAGAACAAAGTTACAAATAAAATAAGGTCGGTAGTATTCAAGTACAGAAATGTAATAATAACACTGAAAAATAACTAAAATAACACTGCATAGTAGGGCTGCACAATTAATCAAATTTCTAATCGTGATTACAATTATGGATGCCACAATTACGTAATCGTTCAAAGCGGCAATTAATCGTTCAAAGTCCACTTATGCTATTCTGAGTGCTTAAGATGCGTTTTTTTCTTAATACATGTTATCTTAAGGGTTTTTCCCATTATTTTAATTTTAGTTTTAGTATAACATTATAATACCATTCATATTTTAATTTTTTTGTCTTTTAAAGTAGAAACCAATCCAATGTATAGTTGACATTTGAGGCTTAATACTATAGAAAAGCGCTAAAAGTTTTTCAGTTAGAGTGTTTTCAGCTTGTTTATTTTCATATAAAAATACGGCATGCAGTTGCATCAAACAAATGGTATAAACATCATTCAATGTAAATTGTGATAATCGTAATTAATAATTGCAATTACAATTTCAAGGTAATAATTGACAATTATGATTTTTTTTGTCATAATCGTGCAGCCCTACTGCATAGTGTTCACTGTAGTGGTCGACCGATATTGTTTTTTTGACAGCCGATGCCCATATCTTGGAAAGCAGGGTGGCCGATGGCCGATATAATTCTATTTATTTTAATTAATATTTAAGAAATTTGAAATAATTTGAAAATTGATTAAAACATAAATGTGTTAAATAAACATACTTATACTTTAGATGACAAAGAATTTTTCACAAATAAATAAATATTTAATAAAAATATAATTAAAAAGGAAGTAAACACTATTGTAAACAACAGGGCACTCAGTATTCTGGGAAGTTTGTGTGCATTGGGAATCCATTCAATGTAAATTGTGATAATCGTAATTAATAATTGCAATTACAATTTCAAGGTAATAATTGACAATTATGATTTTTTTTTGTCATAATCGTGCAGCCCTAGATATTGTTTTTTTGACAGCCGATGCCCATATCTTGGAAAACTTCCATTTATTTTAATTAATATTTAAGAAATTTGAAATAATTTGAAAATTGATTAAAACATAAATGTGTTAAATAGAACACAGTGGAAATTACATTAATACGGCAGTGGGCAAATGCTTTATGCATTTTATGCATAATTTAAAATCACGAGTTTAAAGTTTGTCGATTGCGCGTCTTCAGTGAAGCTGAACTCTCCTCCTCCCTCCTCCGTATTCAATTCACACGGACCAACCGTCACGCAGAGAACACGCGATCATGCAGGATACAAATGCACACTTCACAAGATCTCACAACTGGATCCGACTAAGTTTGCAAGGTTTTTTAAATTAAATGTTCATTAGTTATTCAAAGATTTGTTTATATGATATAAATGCGTATTTGCTGAATGCTGACGGCAAACAAGAAAGTATTATAATGTTTGCCTTTCTATTACTAATAATATAAAAGCAATCGTTATAATACTTTTTTTTGGTATACGTTTTAATTCCTTTGTTTAACCATTCTATCTGATTATTAAACAGACTTCTATCCGTGTTAGACAGAACTGTTAACGACAACAGCGAACAAGAGGGAGATTGTGAGCACTGTGTGCTCAGGCACTGCCGTTCTCAGCGCCGTCAAAATAAAAGTCCTGCATCAAACGGCCAATGCCGATATTGAAAAAATGCCAAATATCGGCCGATATATCGGTCGACCACTAGTTCACTGTATAAATTAAATATAAAATAACCTTTGTCAAAGCTGTGTTTTGTTGTCTGATTGTTGTCTGAGCATTAATGACAGTAGCAGGTATTTATAGGCTGCTCTCACTTTGAGCGACTGCACAGATCCAATATGATGATATTTTCAGCAGCCATTACTCCAATTTTAAAATTAAATTTTAATAATCAAACGGGGTGTCTAATCAATTCAATTATAAAAGTTTAACAAATGAATAGTTTGTTAACATTTCAACATCAGCAGTGCCCTAAATGTTCAAAATTGTTAATTTTGTTTTATAATTTAACAGATTTAATATCAAAAATAGTGGTAATCAAATTAATACATTAACTTTATTTTATTTTTATTTTTTTAATCTGATTATTTTAAAATATAATCAAATAAAATCAGACAACTTTCTTTTTTGGCAAACAAAGGGATTCACAAAAGAGGTTTACTGTTAAAATTAAAATATGGACAAAATTATGTGATACTCCTTAAATACTATTTTGTGTGATACTCCTTAAATACTATTTTCTATACTACTATATACCAATTTCTGTTCAATTATTTGACTATAGTTTTATCAAATGATTTGGGGAGACTCATGAAGTGACTCATTAAACTGTGCCGCTCACCACACAGAGACACGCAGAACATACAGACTTTATTTCAATAGCGGTGCTTTAATGTTCACAGACACTAGTCCACATGGTGATTCGATCAGGGGTACAGCCCTGCTTCTGATTTATTCATTCAGATTTGGCAAAATTCCGTGACATTCCTCACTGCAGTAAAATGGAATTTACAGTATATTGAAGAAATCACAGGGCCCTACATAACGTGATTCAGACCCAGATAGTACAATGTGAAGAAAAAGGCCCGAAGAGGAAGGGAGAACAAGTTGGAATTGAATTTGGGTTTGGAAAATCAATTGAATAAATACTATTTTCTATACTACTATATACTAATTTCTGTTCAATTATTTGACTATAGTTTTATCAAATGATTTGGGGAGACTCATGAAGTGACTCATTAAACTGTCCCGCTCACCACACAGAGACACACAGAACATACAGACTTTATTTCAATAGCGGTGCTTTAATGTTCACAGACACTAGTCCACATGGTGATTCGATCAGGGGTACAGCCCTGCTTCTGATTTATTCATTCAGATTTGGCAAAATTCCGTGACATTCCTCACTGCAGTAAAATGGAATTTACAGTATATTGAAGAAATCACAGGGCCCTACATAACGTGATTCAGACCCAGATAGTACAATGTGAAGAAAAAGGCCCGAAGAGGAAGGGAGAACAAGTTGGAATTGAATTTGGGTTTGGAAAATCAATTGAACAGAGTAAGAAAACGGCCTCAGACGTTATGGTGTGAAAAGCGCAAATAAATAGCCTCACTGAAATGTTTCGTCTAGCCGTGCTGTAAATAACTCCTACAGCCAAAACAAACATACCTGCATGCAGAGCGGACTCCCTAATGTAGCAGCGTTTAACTATGGGACTGTGTTCCCATCAAGGGAAATCGCTCCGGGATGTGGATCTATCAACATCCCAAATTAAGCTAGTGAAGTTATGCCGGTGATTTTATTCTTAACTGTAAAACTAGCGTGTCAGTAAACACTTATTTAACGCCTGGGTGTCCTCATCTTTGAATGCCGTACTCTTTTACCCAAATCACTATCATTGCTCAAGTTTAATCTCTGAAGTTTGGTTACATTCCAGACGATCTGACAAAGCATTGTGGATGCTGATCTCACTGGAGCGCTGCTTCAGGTCCACCCAGTTTCACTGATAGTTAATCTCTCCCTCCAATTAGCATGATTGGATCTCGTTTGCGTAAGAATGATTTGTGTAATTATTTAATTACCCACAACGCACTTTCACAAAGGTGCCCGGTTTGAAGCAGGCGGGCTGTTCTCACCTCTATTGTGTGTGGTTTGTGGTAAGCGCTGATTGTGTGGTCAGGTTGGACTAACAGTAGGTGTAAATGACTAGCCTAGTATTAAGCTGACAGGATGTTCTGACAATAGGCCGTCATGTGGGGCAGGGCGGTGTTTTATCTGTGCTGGGCTGCTCGGATTGAGAGATGCGATTAACACTTTAACACACCGACCACAGGGAGGCCCATTTGGGTGCATCAGGGGGTCCTAAATAAATACAGGCCACACGCTGGGTGATTGGCATGATCTGCTGGTGCTGAGGACATGTGTGGAGTTCAGCTGTGGTTATGAGTAGGATCATTTTCTGTGCAGAATGAAGTTATGCTATAAATGTATAATTTTTATGGTATAATTGTATCATAGAAGGGTGGTTACTTAAGTCTAACAAAATAAAATATTCTATAATAACGCTATCTATTTACACTACCATTCAAAAGCTTGGGGTCAGTAAGATTTAAAAAAAAAAAAAAAATGGTTAAAGATTTTTTGAAAAGTCTCTTATGCTCACCAGGATTTCATTTAATAAAAAATGTAGAAATATAAACCGATATTGTGAGAAAATGAATGCAATTTAAAATGACTGTTTTCTGTTTGAATATATATTAAACTGTCATTTATTTCTGTAATGTAAAACTGAATTTTCAGCATCATTAATCCAGTCTTCAGTGTCACATGATGCCGATGTGATGATTTGATTCTCAAGAAACATTTCTTACTATTATCAATGTTGAAAACTGTTTTTGCTGCTGTTTGTGGAAACCGTGATACTTTTTGCTCAGGATTCTTTGAAACTTCAAAATAATAGTATTTATTAGTAATAGAAATATTTTCTAACATTTATAAATGATCTTGCATTCACTTTTAATCAATGTATGCATTAATGCATTCTTGCTGAAATATCAGTTTCTTAAAAAGAAAACTTACTGACCAAACTTTTGAACAGTAGTGTGTGTATGTTTATAGTTTGACATCCAACTGAGCTGATTTTTGTTAGTCATTGAGTTTAGATTTACAACAAAACACTGTCTAACCAGCCAAGTTTGCTTTCTTGTTCTTTTTTAAATCAATTTTTTTTCTTATGTACTTATGACTTTTTTTTAATAACTGTTTTTGTGTAAAGCACTATGAATTGAACTGTGCTATTTAAAAAAAAAAAGCTTGCCTTTGGCTATAACTTATAATCTAAACCTTTAAATTTATATATATATATATTTTAAATAATTTACTTAAATGATGTGCTTTATTAAGGGACATTCATTAAGAAATTAAAAGTATTACAAGGTGATGGTAAAACTTAAAACAGATCCCATCATCATCATCCAGGCTTTTAGACTAAACTTTTTAGCCTAAAAACTTGGTAAAGCGAGCAACACAGATCTCGGGCGGGCAATTGAAAGCATGTCAGCCCCTCATTACCTCCACAGCGGAGCTGTAAGTTTGTCAGGCCGATTCTATTTGGGTGCTGTTGGCAGGCGCCGCGCTCTCCCTCAGTAACAAATGTCCCTCACATCTGCCTCACAGCATCCCTGGCAGCGCTGCCTCGTCTCCTCCGAGCTGACAAAGCCTCCTGGCCCCCCGTTCACATCTCTCTCCATGAAAGGAGGCGAACAATTGGACTCTGGCGCTGGCACCTAGCGGGCCCTAGAGCATATGCCATATTCTCTCTGTTCACCAAACCAAAGGGCCCGGTGCTTGGCTTTTCTCTGGAATATTCTCCACCACCTTTTGTCGCATCTGTGTTCTGCCTCTCATTAGGAGAGCGTTCGACTGATGTTCGCTCTGAGCGTTGGGGGCCGAGGCAGAGAGCTGGAAGTCAATTAGAGAGGAGAGAGAAATGGATCAGATAGCTGGAGGATGACGGCCTATGAGAGGCCTAGTTTTGAAGTTGAGAGAGACTATGTAGGATGAGGAAAGCGGGACCCACTACATAGAGTCAGCTTGGAGAGAAGGTTTCAGGCACAATATAGATTCTCTAATAAGACTGTGGAACATGTTCCAGCATCCGGATGCATTGGAATGTTTGACTCAGATTTAAAATAAATGCAGTGTCAACAAAAGACACAGATATTCAATAACTAATTACATTTGTAGTAGTAATAATAACATTATTAACATTACAATATAAGTAATAAATACATTTGATTTATATAGCAGATTTTAAAACTCAATTTTGCTTTACAGATAATTGAACAAATATGATATAATAGTGTAATATATAAAAAATTCTTACACCTTGTAATAGTTTGTGTAACACAGGTATTCAGTAAATTACATTTCTAATAATAATTTTAACATTAGTATATATATATTCATATATATAAAATGTGTATGTGTGTAATTAGCATAATGTAAAAAAATTAGAATAATCACTATAAACAATTCTTACCTTTTAATATAAAGAGATTATAGATATTAAATATAATTAGATATTAAATAATTTTATTATAATAATAAATCATTGCAACATTAGTGAATACATTGGATTTTATTTGTTTCAGATTTTGACTCAAAACTCAAACTTGATTTACAGAGCAAAAAAAATACACACACACACACACACCCACACACACGCGCATATATATATATATATATATAGTTATAAATAATACAATTAAAAACATAACTAGTAATTATAATCACTATAAACAATTCTTTCACATTGTAATATAGCTTGTGTAACACAGATATTAAGTTGCATTTTACATTTATAAAAATACTACTAATAATAACAATTAATAATAATAGTATCATTAGTAAATGCATGAATATGTAGTATAATATAAAAATAAATTAATCACTACAAACAATTCTTCTACCTTGTAATATAGTGTGTGTAAAAGATATTTAATAATTACGTTTTTAATATATAGTTGATATAATTAATGGTATAATTATGCTATTCAGTTACATTTTTAATGATAATAAAATTATTGTAACATTAGTAAATGCATTTGATTTTGTGTAGCTAATTTTAAAATTCAAGCTTGCTTTACAGAGCCAAAAATATATGTATATAATGTAGAATATTAAATTATTATATATTATTAAAAACAAATTGTAATCACTGTAATCAGTTCTTCCACCTTTTAATATAGTTTGTATAAATATATTAAGCCAGAACTGTCCCTTTTATTTAACGTTTTAGTAGTATAATAAACACATTGCCTGTTGCATGTGACTACAACATTTTGCTACATAGTGTTGATGGCATTTGTCCTCAAGGTTGTGTGAATATGAGACTATAAACATGATCTGAAGCCGTTATCAATGCAGTGGTTGATAAATGGAGGCGCTGCTCTTCCTTTCCTCTTCTCTTCTGCCTCGCTCTCTATTTCATACCAGTTCTGTCTTGATTTAAGCACAACTCAAGGGCACCTGCAACACATTAGCACAGCGCCTGAAGTCTACTGTAAAAAGTAATTGGCAAATTGAGTTTGTGTGTGTTTCCAGTCCTATGCCATTGTAAACATTTACTACAGGATTGCAGCGCAGTAACACTCCATTTTCTCGTTTCGCCCAAAGCGCTTTTCCTATCGTAACCACCCTTGATTTTAGGAGCTGAATTCTGCTGACCAGCAAGAGCGGTGTTGTGTTTTTCCACTGCTGACCCTCTGAGCCAACTTGAGGACAGTTTTAGTGGGCCAGGGCCTGACCGAAGAGGTTAAATGGACAGGATGCCAGCGTGCAACAGCCAAGGGAACTGTGTTAGGTTGAGGTGTTGAGAATGGCTGAAAGGCCAGAAAATGAGAATAGAAATAATTTTAGTTGAGTTGGGTGTTGAAGGTTTTCCTCATCATGGCTGGACACATTCCTAGTGCTCACTTAGTCACCAAAATCACCTCTAACCATCCCGTGAGCCTTTCAGAGAGCAGAAACACTGATACGATCTGCTGTTAACTGCCACAGATGGCCTGCTATTAGCCTTTTAAAGTCAAAATTAAACTAAAACTGTCCATGATGTCCTTGATAAATATCCCTCTTCTGTTGTGCGTGATTTATTCGTCATTCAAAAAATCATTCCACATTTTCGTCTCTAGTCACTTGTGGATGCGCGTTCATGACCATATCATGACGCGAGCGTGTGGTGGCGCCGGGCGCTGACCCAGACCCGGGTCCAGATCTGGGTCAGCGCCACCACACGCTCGCATCATGATAATGTCGTGAATGCGCATCCATAAGTGACGCAGTAGAGACGAAAATGTGGAATAAAGTCATTATTTTTGTTTTGCAAAAAAAGTATTCTCGTAGCTTCGTAACTTTACAGTTGAACCACTGATGTCACACGGGCTACTTTGTCGATCATCTTGGTGCTTTTCTGGACCTTGAACGTGGTAGTTACCTTGCAGTCTATGGGAGGGTCAGAAAACCCTCAGATTTCATCAAAAATATCTTAAATTGTGTTCCGAAGATGAACGAAGGTCTTACGGGTTTGGAACAACACGAGGGTGAGTAATTAATGACAGAATTTTTTTGGGTGTACTAACCCTTTGAATCCAAATTGAATAACATTATCCATCTCTGAGGAACTTTTTGTCCTTTTAATAATAACCAGTAATATCACATCCTCCTTCCACTTTTATAATCTAATGGACTAAACCAAGTCCTGCCTCTTATTATTTCCTGCTGAACGTTATATTTCATTTGAAAATGTCACTATTGTAGAAATCGTACCTTTTAAAATGATGACAAATTTTACATTAAATCAAATTATATAACGTTATGCATACTAAACTCACTATTAAACTCACTACTATGAAAATCTTACATTTTAAAAATAACTAAATTGTACATAAAAATATTTGTATTATGCATTTTGAATTGTCACTATTATGGAAATCATACATTGTAAGAATTAAAAGTTTTTTTATTCATTATTACATATTTAAAAAAGTGACTTTGGAAATCTTATTTTAAGAATGACCATATTTTACATTACAATTTTTTTTTTATTTATGTAACATTAAACATTTGAAAATGCCATTATTATGGAAATCTTATATTTAGAAAAAGGCAAAATTGTAAACTATTTATTTATTTTTGTAAGAAAATTGACTTTTCTTAATTTTGTCAATCTTAATTTTAAAAAAGTAAGCTTAAAAAATAAAACCTTAAAAAAAGCTTACATAATTTTTGTTTTGTTTAGCTTACATCTCTTTTTGTTTCCATAAAACTGACTTTACATTTTTCTTTCACTATACCATGTGTTTTTAGGCTTGAAAGTGTAGCATTTAATGTTGACTGTAGTGGTTCAATGGATCACAAATCTCACGGTTCGGATCACATTATGGTTTTTGACCCACGGATCGGATAATTTTTCGGATCAGCAAGAAAAGAAAAATATTTCAATTTAATGTACTTTCCATTTATTACTTAAAGTGAAGTACTACTTTGATACCACAGCAAATACTACTAGATTAACTAAGAAAGTTTAAACATGAGTGTCCCCACTCCAACATGCAACAAATGCCTCAAAATGTTTTTGTCTCTTCGCTCCGGCCGGGACACGGCATCAACAGTATGTGAGGGGCGTAACATTTCCATCTCACGCTTGAGGTATTCGGCCAATCACAACGCATTGGATAGCTGGCCAATCACAGCACACCTCGCTTTTCAGACCGATGAGCTTTGTAAAAATCGAGGCGTTTCAGAAAGGCGGGGCATAGAGGAGAAACAATAATGTACAGTATGTGGAAAATAATGTGTTTTTTTTTTACTTTAAACCGCATAAACACATTTCATTACACCAAATACACCAAATAATGTTCTTTTTAGCAGCATCATATGACCCCTTTAAAGAGATAAGAGAACTGCCAGTAAAAATAAGAACAAATACACAAATTACAAGCATAGATACATACAACAGAATATGTTACAAATAAAATAAGGTTGGTAGTATTCAAATACAGAAATGTAATTATTAGGGAAAATAACACTGCATAGTGTTCACTGTATAAATTAAATATAGATTTTTATCACAGCTGTTCTGTTGTTTGATGATCATTAATGACAGCAGCAGTATTTATAGGCCGCTGTCCCTTTAAGACCTGATGCACGGATCCGATATAATGATACACATCAGAGCCGATTTCTTTCTCAGCTGTTTTCATTCACTTGAGACATAACTGACTGTTTAACTGAATGATTGTCGAGATGGGTATTTTGTCATAATTTCATGTGTATGTGTCTGTTCAGAGGATTCAGAAGAGGATTCAGTTCGGTGTTCGCTCGCCGTCTGAAACGCGTGTGCGCGGCTGTGCGTTTAGAGAAGAGCGCGCGAGTAACGAATCGAGTTCCCTTTCACCTTTTCTCTCTGAAATTGTTTAAAATTCGCTTGCTTGTGTAAATACGAACAAATTATAAACTTATACTAAACTTACATTTTGCAATTAATCCGCAGATCATATGCGTGCCAAACCGTGGGGCTTGGTCTGTACGGATCACGGATCAACTACGATCTGTTTAACCACTAGTTGAATAGATGTAAAGTCTTGTTTAAAAGCATTGTTAATGATAGGAGACAGCTCTAGGGACCGTTACTGGAACTAGGCATCTTTACTGGAAGTCTTTTACTGCTTTTTATGACTTAGTATGTAGATCTGTGTGTGTTTATATCTTGGCCTGGATTCCTGCAGTGGGATAAAACATGAGAGTAATAATGGCTGCCTTCTGTTTCTCTTTAGCAGTTGTGTGGGCCCGGTATTCCTACCCTAACTTCAGCTTTCGGATTATATGTGTGTGTGTGTGTGTGTGTGTGTGGCAGGGATAGTAGAGGGAGATGACTGATGTCAACCCTAAGAATTTCCTCTCTTTTGGATGGGAATGAGGGGCCCTCTCTGCCCCCCCCGAGTCACCCAGCTGTCAGGAAACAATACCCTTGGCCTGTTCAGACAAAACTCATTCCTGAAAGTGTTTTTTTACACTCCCTCGATAGTCGCTCACAGCTGGGCTCTGGGAGGAACACATTCTCCGACAAACACAGATTTCACACTCTCGCTCTCTCTCCGTTACACACACACACACATACGATACAGACACAGGTGTTTGCCAGTAGAATTGCTCTCTGTTGACTGTTCGATTTATTTATGAGCCCCTGAGAAGCAGATCTCATGCTGGAAGATTCTGTTAAGTCTCTTTTCAGTTCAATGTTTGTTTCACTCATTCATCCACAGTTAGTCATCAGCAAAACCTGTCTAGACACACACACACACACACACACACACACAAACTCCTCCGTTTTTTTTAAGGTACTATTGTAAACAGGTCTGACAAAACGTGTTGGTTAACTTTGCCACCCACTGAGGTGAAGTTTATGCACCCGTTTTGTGCCTAAACTTTTCCATTGAAGTTTGAAAGGAAGATGTGAATTAAAATGCGGTGTTGGAGTCTCATCTGTGTTTTGCCGTTGTGTTTGACAGTATCTGCAGATGAAATGGCCCCTTCTGGATGTTCCAGGCACGGCAGCACTCAGAGACTCACGATCACCTACTCCAGGACTCTTAGTGAGTATCTCATAAGTGCACCCGTACACACAACTCACACACACACCTCACACACACACACACACACACACACACACACACACACACACACACACATATATATATATATTCTGTGTTTATATCATAATTCTGTTTATATCTCATAATTCTGCATTAATATCTCAGAATTCTGCATTATATCTCATAATTCTGACTTTTCTCAGAATTCTGTTTATATTTCACAACAGAATTCCGACTTTTCTCAGAATTCTGCGTTTATATCTCAGAATTCTGTGTTTATATCATAATTCTGTTTATATCTCATAATTCTGCATTAATATCTCAGAATTCTGCATTATATCTCATAATTCTGACTTTTCTCAGAATTCTGTTTATATTTCACAATTCTGTTTATATCTCATAATTCTGCATTAATATCTCAGAATTCTGACTTTTCTCAGAATTCTGCATTTATATCTCTCAATTCTGTTTTTATCTCATAATTCTGTTTATATCTCATAATTTTGTGTTTGTCTCACAATTCTGACTTTTCTCACAATTCTGCGTTTATATCTCACAATTCTGTTTTTATCTCTTAATTTTGTTTATATCTCATAATTATGTGTTTATGTCTCACAATTCTGACTTTTCTTCTCAGAGTGTTGAGTTTATATTTCACAATTCGGTCAGAATTGGAAAAAGTCTGAATTGTGAAAAAAGTCAGAATTACCTTTTTAAAAATCCCATGGCAGAAACGAGCTATAAAAACCTATTAGGCTTTTGTTCATGTTCAGAACACAAATTTACATTTTTAATATTCTATCATTTTTATACATCTATTGACAGTCCGCTCAACCAAAATTTTAAAGCTTCAAAATGCACATAAAGACATCACACTGTTAATAAAACGGATAATTGGAGTATGTTTGACAAGGAAATACTACTTCAGTCTTTCTACTTAATAATTTCATGTTTAATTAAATCTGTTACTTGCCATTTCTTAGAAATTGCTAGCAAATTTCACAAAAGAGTAAAGTAAATCTTGCACCACATTTTTTGGGCACATAAATGCGTAATAATCTAGCATTTTCTTGCTGACTTTGCAGGGATAATTCACCCAAAAATGAAAATTCTGTCACAAACGAGTGTTGTGCCATGTTTTGTGGTGCTCAGACAGGCAACATGGGTTTGAGTCCATCGTGCATCTTTTCCTGATTCTGTTCACCCAACATTTTATGTTCTCTCTCGACAATCCCAGTCAATTAAAGTGGAAAATTTGACATTTGACCTCCAAATTCTGACAACTGTACAAAACAACAGAGTTGGATTAAACAAACTGGACAATCCGCTGTTAGTATTCATCCTTTATTTAGTTCCCAATCCCACGTCCTCCCATAAACACACTCGCACACTGGCTTTGTCAGATTGAGCCCATAAGGTTGCTATGCTAATGTGTTATTCTGTTCACTCCAGAACGTTCAATAATTCAGGAGACAGGTTTGCTTGGTATTCTGCTGCACCACATTTTTTTGGGCACATAAATGTAATCCATATAAATCGAGCATTTTCTTCACAATGACTTTGTTGAACAGATTAATTTATGCTTTTATTTATATGTAAACACTGATCAACACACAAGCACAACAGATAAAGTAAATGGAATGTGCACATATTGGATGAGCTTTATGTATGTGCATTGATCAATGTTTATATGGATAAAAGCCTAAATGTAATACATTTAAAATAGTTTCACATAAAGTGTCTTTAGAATTAAATGCTTGATTGATGGATAACTTACAATGTCTTTATGAAATTTTTGAAAATGACAAGTTTTGGTGTGGACTTTCAGTGGATATACAGTGGTGTGAAAAAGTGCTGGCCCCCTTCTTGATTTCTTATTTTTTTGCATGTTTGTCACACTTTAATGTTTCAGATCATCAAACAAATTTAAATATTACACAAAGATAATGCAAGTAAATACAAAATGCAGTTTTTAAATGATGATTTAATTTATTAAGGCAAAAAAGCTGTCCAACCCTATATTCAAAAACAGGAAGGGGGCCAACACTTTTTCACACCACTGTACATAAATTATGAGAGAATATTTAATATCTCATTTTTTGTTCTGCAGATGAACAAACGTCTTCTGGGTTTGGAATGACAGAAATTTCATTTTTGGGTGAATTATCCCTGCAAAGTCAGCATGAAATCAAAAGTGATTCTGTGTGTTTTCTTACTGGTCTTATAGTGAATTAATCATTTGTGCATGTTTTTTTTGACCTCTTAATATTTGATCAAAATATCATTGCTCAAATTGAAACTTGCTCTTCCTGTGATAAGCCACACTCGTTTTTGTTGACATATGCAAGACCACTCTGAATTTAAGCAAATCATATTTTTTATAATCAGAGTAAAAAACATTCAGATGTTTTTCCCGTACCAAATCCCTGATGTGTTTTCAATAGTGGTGTCAGGTCATCTTTATTGACACACATAAAGGCTACCTGAGTTTGTACTGATTTGTGTGATTGATGTGAATGGCCATGCAAAGCATTTGTTGGCAATGTTGTTTGGTGTGCACTGAGAACAGTGTTTATGAAGCCTAGTGTTTGCAACCTACAATGTATTTTCTGAACAAAAATTATTCATTTTCTTCATGGTCACTTATAATCAAGCGATTCTGGTTGCCTGTCGGTACATTACAAGGAATGAAAGCTGTTTTGCCATAGTGATTCTTGCTCAAACCAGAATGTGTGGTTCATCTCTGCCACTCCTTAGTGCACAGTGATGGCTGTTGGATAAGAGCGAGCTTCCCTGTTGGGCAGATCTGTGTGAATTCCAGTCAGGCTGGTTGGAGGTCAGGAGGTTTGCAGGATGGTAGTTTGTCCTCAGCAGACCTGTGTGGTTTGATTTACCTCTGGTTAGATGATGAGAGGTGATAAATTTAACCAGAGCGTTACATTCTTGCTGTGGTGGAGCATGCAAGTGTGTGTGTGTGTGTGTGTGTGTGTGTGTGTGTGTGTGTGTGCCAGAATGAAACATGCAAACACACAACATGAGGAACTTCAGATGGTGCGTCAGGCAGACTGACCCGTACTAAACTGGTTTAAATGCAGAGTAGGGGAAAGATTGACTTTTCTGCACACAGGTATGATCTTCAAACATTGGCAATGTCTCAAAGCGTGATTAATTAGTGATATTTAATGTCAAATTTATTGTAAAAAAATATATAATGAACAAACGTTATAAAGTAGATAATCCACATCAAATTTAAGAATAGAAAAGTGCTGTTTAATGTAAAATTTATTGTAAAAAAATGTTTTTAACACTTTAAAATGATAATCCACACTGAATTTAAGAATAGTGTTGTTTAATGTAAAATGTATTGTAAAAAAAATTGACAAACACCATTTTTTAGTGTTAATTTTTTACAATAAATTTTACATTGTTACATTTTATTATTTGATTTTTACAGTAAATTTGACATCAAACAAAAGTGCTGTTTAATGTAAAATTTATTGTAAAAAAGTAAAAAAACATTATAAAATGGATAAATCACATTGAATTTAAGAATAGAAATTGTGGGAAATAATCAAATAAAAAATTGTTTAAATGAGATATTGTCTCAGAATATTTTTTATTTGGAGTAACCGAATTGTGGATTATAATAGAAGTAATAGATTTGATAAAACCCAGGTATTTGGAAAAGTATTTACTTAGGTCGCTCTTTAAAACATGAGGAACTTCAGATGGTGCGTCAGGCAGACTGACCCGTACTAAACTGGTTTAAATGCAGAGTAGGGGAAAGATTGACTTTTCTGCACGCAGGTATGATCTTCAAACATTGGCAATGTCTCAAAGCGTGATTAATTAGTGATATTTAATGTCAAATTTATTGTAAAAAAATATATAATGAACAAACGTTATAAAGTAGATAATCCACATCAAATTTAAGAATAGAAAAGTGCTGTTTAATGTAAAATTTATTGTAAAAATTTTTTTAACACTTTAAAATGATAATCCACACTGAATTTAAGAATAGTGTTGTTTAATGTAAAATGTATTGTAAAAAAAATTGACAAACACCATTTTTTAGTGTTAATTTTTTACAATAAATTTTACATTGTTACATTTTATTATTTGATTTTTACAGTAAATTTGACATCAAACAAAAGTGCTGTTTAATGTAAAATTTATTGTAAAAAAAAAAGTAAACATTATAAAATGGATAAATCACATTGAATTTAAGAATAGAAATTGTGGGAAATAATCAAATAAAAAATTGTTTAAATGAGATATTGTCTCAGAATATTTTTTATTTGGAGTAACCGAATTGTGGATTATAATAGAAGTAATAGATTTGATAAAACCCAGGTATTTGGAAAAGTATTTACTTAGGTCGCTCTTTAAATAATAAATTTAATGGCATAATAGTCACTTTTCTTCATCGTTTTGTCTTTTTTTTTTTTTTTTTTTTTTGAA